AATTGCATAGGGAGAGAGCATAATGGTATAGAAAGATGATGGACAGGGCCATGGCAAACACCCACATGTTAAAGGGGCAAAAAGATCATGAATCAGTGAAGGAATTTGGTAGGAAGTGGTTAGACTAGAAAATGGGGAATCAGATACAGCCATGTCAAGAAAGCCAAATGAAAGGAAGAACAAAAAAAATTGTCCAATTGGTCAAATGTTGCCACATAGAAGGAGAAGGACAATAATCAACTATTAGAGGAAAATCACTGAATACTATGCATAGACAAACAGGCTTCCTCTAGCTCTGGAACAAATGTTGTTACCTGTTTAGTAAAACTGAAGAAAAAACTCCTGAGTCATTTGCTTGAATTTCAGTTTATGGGGGAAAAATATTATGGAAATCTAAATAACACCAGCTAACAGTATGTCAGAATTACCAATCTATGAATAATAAAAACAAAAATTGGCAATATTTTAGTGTTAGGAAAAACATGTTTAAGGGAATGTAAAGTTCTTCATATATTAAGTAAGCTCTGTTATCAGATAAATAAGGGGAAAATTTATCAGAAGTAAAAAAAAAAACAAAAAAACAGTTGCATCTTTTTCCCCTAAGGATGAAAGTTCTTAGTTTCAAAGTAACATTAAGACACTCTGGGGCCTCCCCGGTGGCGCAGCGGTTGAGCGCTGGGTTGCGAAGCTGCCCGCGGCCTCTGCAGCACCGGTTCGATCCCCGGCTGCTCCCTGGCCACTGGAGGAGGATCCCACATGGCGCACAGACCTCTCCTGCCGCCCGCTGCTCCCCTCAGCAGTGTACTTCGGTCCTTCTGCCTGCTCTGCTCCCCGCTCTGGCTCTGGTGAATTCTCTCACCCTCCTGCGCTTCTGACTATACCCAGTGCTTGTATAAATAAATAAAAATAAATCTAAAAAAAAAAAAAAAAGACACTCTGGGGCCTCAGTGGTGGCACAAGGGGTTAGCAATCCTCAGCCACTGCAGCACGAGTTCAATCCCTGGCCAGGGAAGAACCCACATGACGAAGCAGACCTCTCCTGACTCGCCCACTGCTCCCCTCAGCAGTGTATTTCAATTGATCTGCCTGTTCTGTTCCCTCTATGTCTCTGGTGGATCCTCTCACTCCCCACACCTCTGGCCTGTACCCCAGCTCTTGTATGCATAAATAAACAAATCTTTAAAAAAAAAAGAAACTCTTTGAAAGAAAATAAAAAGAAATCAAAATTTCATGGTATCATGTTAACTTCTTATGACTAAACATCTGAAATCTCTGGAAACATTTTCAAATATAAAGAAATCATTTGACATGCTGAATAATGGATGCTTGTTGGCCAAACATTGTCTTTTCTATGAAAAGAAGTTTGCCTTAGCACAATAACTTGACTGAGTTGCAAGTCTCTACATCCTGTCACAGAATAAATATATCAGTATTGTCCTACCAAGAGTACCATTAAAAATAGAACCTCAACTCCATAATCATTAAGTAGAAACTACTCAATTTAAAAACACTCTATTTGTTACTAAAGAACTTTGAGAGTCTGTTAAGTATTTTGAAGATTACCATACACAATCAAAAAATAAAGTACTTTAAATTCTGATCAAAAACATACAGTGCAAAACCACAAAAGCCTCAAAAAAGTCTTTTCTTACAGAAATTATAGACTTAGGAATAAAGTTACACATTTTCCTATGGGTAGAAAGGTACAATTCCAATAGAGAAATTAAAGTCATCTATCTCTAAGTGTATGGAGTTAAGAATGCCTGAAAACTAGTTTCACAATCAACATAAATAATGATAAAGTCTCCCAATTTGTAGATAAGTGGCCTTATAAGGCCAAGATGTATAAAGATTTCCCACTCTTAACATTTTTTCTGTGTAAATGTACGTCTTTGAGGAAACTTTCTGTTACAGAAGCTCTGACTTAATTACAGTTGATATTTTAAAATATCAGAGGAAAGTCAATAATTTGAAACCCTAAGAGGAATAATAATTAAAACTGAACTTGAAAACATTATAGGAAAACAACACAGTTATTGTAGATACATGAAATACACACACGTGGGCCTCCCCGGTGGCGCAGCGGTTGAGCACTGGGTTGTGAAGCTGCCTGCAGCCTCTGCAGCACTGGTTCGATCCCCGGCTGCTCCCCGGCCACCAGAGGAGGGTCCCACATGGCGCGCAGACCTCTCCTGCCGCCCGCTGCTCCCCTCAGCAGTGTACTTCCCTCCTTCTGCCTGCTGTGCTCCCCGCTCTGGCTCTGGTAAATTCTCTCACCCTCCCGCGCTTCTGACTGTACCCAGTGCTTGTATGTATGTATGTATGTATAAATAAATAAATAAATATTTAAAAAAAAAAAAAAAAAGAATACACACACGTATATCTACTGCCTTTCCAAAAATTCCTGGTGGAGACCACTTTACAGGAAATCACTTCCAAAGAAATGTTTTGTTTTGTAGATTTATTTATTTATTTATTTATTTATTTATGCATACAAGAACTGGGTTACAGGTCAGAGGTGTGGGGAGTGAGAAGATTCACCAGAGACAGATGGGGAACAGAACAGGCAGATCTACTGAAATACACTACTGAGGGGAGCAGCAGGAGAGAGGGGAGAGGTCTGCTGTGCTAGTTGGGTCAGCAACCTGGCCGGAATCGAACTTGTGCTGCAGTGACTGTGGACAGTTTCATAGTGCTGCCACTTAACCCCTTGCACCACCAGGGAGGCCCCAAAGTAATGTCTTTACCAAGCAATGTCTTAAGTGTTTAAATTAAACCATCATTTGTAGTATTAACTCAAAATATCAACTAAAAATGATAAACTATCACAGAATGGGATCATGCCACATTCATTCTATGTATACCAGAACACCGGCAAACAGTAGGCAAGTGAAAAAATTCTGCAGTTATATGAAGAGTTTACTAGACTTCAGATCATGAAAACCCTGCAAAGAATCTTCTGACTCGTTCCCAAACCATCTTCCCTCAAAAAAAACAAAACAAAACAAAACCCAAACAAACAAAAACATACATAGAAAGGAGGAAGACAAAGACACTTTGAGGGCAATTTAGCCAGAAAAAAAACATATCCTCTGTCATCAAGATATGCTTTTAGAATTGTTTTCTATCAAACAATTAATAGAATTCTGAATCTTTCTCTCAGAATTGTTATAAAGTTGAAATTTGGCTCACCTTACAACAGTCTGGAACAAAGCTAAATGTACCAAGTGGAACAAAGTTACACAATGAGCAATTTTTACAAAATGGCACTGCTTTGCTAATGTAACCAGCACAATATTCTCTTCCAAGAGACTCTCACAGTTCAGGGACTACCTGATAACACTTCCAGGCCCCAAATATAGCAGTTAAAAAACAGCCCCACCAAATGCTCACTAAACTGTCACAGAACTAAGACCAAATCCCACCTTCAAAAGCCCGTATTATTGGCAGAACACTAGGTAAGAAGTATGAACGATACAAACACATGAACAGAAAAGAATCACTCACTATTACTCAAAAGTTTTTGTTATTGTTTATTTTGTTTTGTTCCTAAGGAAAAGTATAAAAAGGAATTAAAAAAAAACACTACTATATTCTATGTGTTCCTATAGCACTCTGTTCTGATCTCAAGTACAGCACTGATTCAATACCATAAATTATATCTGTTGATATGCCTAATCATTTGATTTTAGGCTCTAATTTAGAGTAGGGACTTCGAAACTTTGAATCCATAAGACTGACTAAACAAGAAGCACTCAATAAATGTTTTGTCTAAAAAAAGAAATTCCTAATTACCTAGTACTGTTATACGTGCCATTGATGCAAAATAAGGAAGTATTGCACACTTTAAAAAGAAAATTGGCTCCTGCTAACTCTGTAACTCTTTTGAAGGTCTACCTAAAACATGATCATCCTTCATCCAGATTACAATTCCACAAGATCAAAGAAAATGTTTGCCGAGGGTCATCTTTTGTTTCTACATCACATCTCAGAAGAAAGTATTTGACTTAAGGTTTCTGAACTATTTATCATTCATGAATAGTATGTATTACTGATTTTGCGGGTAAAAAAGTATTATTTAACCATTTAAACCAAGCTCAAAAGAAAGAATACTTAGTGTATAAGAAGACCTCCCCAAGAGGTCTTCAACACCCAAGAGGGGTGTTGTCTTAAAGACTGATAACTCCCTAAATACCTTTGGTTAATTTGAAAAGTCAAATCAATAGAACCATCCGGATCAGGCAGACCTTTGAAAGCTGGAATTAGGTGAAAGACAATAGTAGTTCAAATATCTCTCACCAGGATCAGCTACACAGCTTGTTGTAAGCCCCAGTAAGGAGGCAAGAAGAGCGCCAGATGGTTCGCTGCTAGCGCCTACCACTCAAGCTGAGTAGGTGTAGCCAGGGGTGTACAATTACCTAATATTAACACTTACATACGTTGGTAACAGGTGACAGTAACACACACACACACACACATGCACACGCCAGCGATGGGGGGACGACACACGCCCCTGCAAGGCCTGCCATATTCTCAACACACCTCAAAAGGGTGTGTCTTTAACAAAGTTCAGTTGACACAATGGAAGGGGGAAAAAATCGAAGGAGGGAATGGTTGAAAATGAAGAAGGAAAGCGCAGTTGAATATCAGACCATCTCCCTGAGACTATTTTGATGACCTGCCACCTTCTTCCAATCACACCCACCAAAAAAATGCAGTTAAAAGGAATGTTCCCGACGCAAGAGGAGGGGGTCTCATGAGCTCCCGCCCTCAAGCAAGAAAGGCGTCCTACAGAATCACCCCCAAACCCGGAGCAGTACCCAGAGGTGAGGAAAAAATAGACGATCAGCGGTTCCTTCACTCCCAGCGGCGAGTAGGAGGAGTTCTGGCTCCGTGCGCAACCCCAGGTCCACCAGCCGCGGGTGAAAAGGGTGTGGAGGGAAGACGGGTCTCCGCGCGCTCTCCGGCGGCGGCAGACTGTGGAGCGAGAAGGCCCTTACCTGGCTAAAAGCGACCTTTTTCTCTGCGCAGCTTCCGGCCCTGCCGCGGGTCCCGGGCATTCAGCCTCGCGCACCTGTCGCGACCTGGCCGCAGCACCTACAGCTCCCCCGCCCCGCCCCGCCGCGCCGCGCCGCGCCCCGCCCCGCCCGGGTCCGCTCGGAGCCCGCCCCGGCCCCGCCCCCCGCCGCGGGGACGCGCACGCCCTCCCTGCGTGCGGCCTCGGGGCGAGCGTGCGCGCGGCCGGCTGCGTGTCCCGCTAGGCGGCTGCGGGCGTCGGCTCCCGGCGAGGCGTGACTGAAAGCTCCCCCCGGGGCGGCGTCTGGCTCCTCAGCCGGAGTCTGGAGCGGCCCCTCCGTCACGGCCGGGGCTGCGTGCGCTCCCCGTAGCCCTGGGACTCTGCGTTACCGCAGTTCGCCTCTGGAGCGACTGGGCCGTTTGTCCTAAACTCAACCGTAGGCCGGTCCCCAGCCAGGTGCCGGGTGCTTCCGGGGTAAGTGCGAGCAGGGGCCGTGCCTGGAGCGGGCCTCGCGCTCCCGGCGGACGAGCCACAAGTAGGTCCCGGCTCGGCCCGCTCGACGCTCCTAAAGTCGCCGCACCTCCCTGGAGGTATTTCCTCACGTAAATGAAGGGGTCGGACAAGGGTCGACCCCCCCCCCCGCCCCCAAGCGCTAACCGTTACTATCCTCTGAGAGTGAGAGCTGTGAGGAAAGGTGTGGAGAAGGGCGGGAGCAGGAGCGCGCAGCCCCCTGAGGCCCAGCGTGCGGGTCTTTCTCTTCTCGTGCACCCCAAGTCTAGTGAGGTTTCGGGACACAAGTTTTCTGAATTGGTGTAGCTTGATGTTTAGGGCGTCCCGGTGGCAAATGCCTGTGTTGACACCTCCTGAAGCCGTTAGGAAAGTCAGCAGCAGAGGATAGACCAATCAGTTGTTCCGCTCTGCCTTCAAATATCCGGTCTAGATGCTTTCTGGATACGTGGCAGGACTAGAAAACCCGTCAGGCAGTGCGGGAATGAATGCGGAGTGCCAATGTCAATACAGGATGCTACTCTAGAAAATGCGTTCGCTCGCATGTGGCATCGTGGTGTTCCCTCAGCATCTGTCTCCCCCCAATTTTTTTTTTTTTTTAAATCAGGCCAATAAGGAGTGTCATTCCCCACTAGGAAGACTAGAAGTCTAACTTGAGTCAGAGCCTTAGAACTGGATTTGAATCGCCTTCCATTCAGTCACTTGCGAGCTAGGCAAATTACTTGTTTTCCCAAAAGGTCCCTTGAGCACTTTTGAAAATAGTGCTAGTAGTACACGAGAGTTGGCTTTTACAAGACTGGTTGCTAAATTTTCAGGAATGTTATGAGCCAGTTGTTAAGCACAATCACTATCAAAAATCAAATTCTATGAATACATAATAAAATTAGTTATGTGTAAGCACAAATAAGACTCATCACCTTCTTAGAAAATAAGTTTTAAGAAAGTAATAACTGCTCTTGAGGTTATTTGTCCATTTTATCTGTGTGGTAAAAAAGCTATATAATGTTGTATGCCTCTTCTCAACCTGTGTTAAGATGTGTCACATTTCTAGCATGAAATTGACTGCTATAGAAATATTTACACCAGGGAAATTGGCAAATGTTATACATCAACTTGGCTGACTGTTTTGATTTTTTTTCTGCAACTTTTTCTGTAAATAGCCAGTTAGTAAATATTTTAGACTTTCTGGTACTTAGGTCTCTGTCACAGCTACTTACCTCTTACATAAAGAACTGGCAATGGGCCTCCGTGGTGGCTGCAAGGGGTTAAGTCTCAGCACTATCAGGCTAGCACCAGCCACTGCAACATGAGTTTGATCCCCAGCCAGGGAGCTAACCCACATGGCGCAGCAGACCTCTCCTGTCTCGCCTGCTGCTCCCCTCAGCAGTGTATTGCAGTAGATCTGCCTGTTCTGCTCCCCACTCTGTCTCTGGTGAATCATCTCACCCCCCTCACCTCTGGCCTACACCCCAGTTCTTGTATGCATTAAAAAAAGAGAACTGGCATGGCCATGTTCCAGTCAAGATTTATTTACAAAAATAGGGGGTTGGTTGTTGGAGAAAATGTTGATAATGAAGAATTAAACTTGTACGTTCAGTTAATTAAAAGATGTGTCACATCTTGTGATTACTCACCTCTGTGAGTAGCACAAGAAATTGAGGTAGTATTCTTCCAGTATTCAAAAATGCTTTTCCAATTCAGCAAGGAAGTTTGCTCATGTCATTGATAAATGAATGAAGTTTCAATATACTTCTTCCTTGTTTCACTTTTGCCTAACTTAAATGAAAATGTCAACCAACATCTATGTCCAAAGAACACTTCTTTGGCAGTGATGTGATGTGAGCAACTCCTTGAAATCATAACCAAATATTCATAGATTTTGAATTCTTTAAAAAAGAATTATCAATGCTGAGAGTAGATTTTCAAGAAACCATAAGTCACATTAAAGGCATTACATAAATACTGAAAAAAACATGTATTTGAGTTTAAATTTCATGCTATTTCTAAAATCATATGAAAATCATTAACAAAAATTATGTTAACTTAAGTAGTAGTGTGAATTTTACTAACATAAAATTATTTTTCAGATTCTGATTTCTAAAATTCCCAAGTAATGAGTGACTTGTTACATTTTTTAAATCTGAAGAAGTTTAATATAGATATAGAAAATGATGATAGGAGTGAAAATTGTGAACATCTAAGTGAATGAAAGCAAATTTCAAAATTGTGTGAGGCCAGGGCCAAGTCAGTCATTAAAGAGAAGCCATTATCTTCATCAAAGGAAGAAATAGGAAAACTTATGCTTCCAAATTGTTGGAATGAAATAAAAGTATATTTTCAGAACAGTACAAATGGCTTGAAATAAAATAAGGTGAATTTGGAATGTAAGGATTGTTTGATGGGTCAACATTTAATAATGCTTTTCCATGAACAGAAAAGCATGTTCATGGATCTAAGGAATGGAGGGCATACTTAGTAACCCAAAATGGTATTAATAAAAACTATTAGGCAGGGGATTGGCTGTTGGCGGCATTGCCTCTAAGCTCGTGTGCGGCAGCGGAGTCGGCAGAGGTTGCAGCGAGAGAGTTTGGCGCGATGTCTCACACCATTTTGCTGGTACAGCCTACTAAGAGGCCAGAAGGCAGAACTTATGCTGACTATGAATCTGTGAATGAGTGCATGGAAGGTGTTTGTAAAATGTATGAAGAACAGGGCCTCCCCGGTGGCGCAGAGGTTGAGCGCTGGGTTGCGAAGCTGCCCGCGGTCTCTGCAGTGCCGGTTCGATCCCCAGCTGCTCCCCGGCTACTGGGCAAGGGTCCCACATGGCGCGCAGACCTCTCCTGCTGCCCGCTGCTCCCCTCAGCGGTGTACTTCGGTCCTTCTGCCTGCTCTGCTCCCCGCTCTGGCTCTGGTGAATTCTCTCACCCTCCCGCGCTTCTGACTGTACCCAGTGCTTGTATAAATAAATAAAAATAAATCTTTAAAAAAAAAAAATGTATGAAGAACATCTGAAGAGAATGAATCCCAACAGTCCTTCTATCACATATGATATCAGTCAATTGTTTGATTTTATTGGTGATTTGGCAGACCTCAGCTGCCTTGTTTACCGAGCTGATACTCAGACATACCAGCCTTATAACAAAGACTGGATTAAAGAGAAGATCTACGTGCTTCTTCGTGGGCAGGCCCAACAGGCTGGGAAATAGTTGCGCTGGAAGCATTTGGGGGATGGGGGTGGGCTTGGAACACAGGTGTGTACAGCGTGCTGTAGTGGAAGTTTTGTATTATAGTAATCCTGTTTCCATTTTGGTACATTCTAGCCAGGATTGAATGTATTAGATGAAATGCGAGGATCTTGTTCAATCTGAAACCCCCATTGCCTGCCTCCTTCCCATCCCCTTTTTTTACTTAAACATTTTTATGATGTTTTAGATGGAGGTTGTTCTTTGTCAGTTAATGTTGGTTGCAGTCCTTCAAACTGTTCATATCTGCTTATTAATATTCACTGTACTAACCATTGGGGGGAGGTGATCGGGGGGTGACACTTCAGTTATGTCCTCAAGATAAAGTCTTAGTGAAAAACAAATAAATGTTCTTTAGTTATAAAAAAAAAAAAAAACTATTAGGCAAACTTTTCTAAAAAAATAATAAATTTGGGAACATATTTCTAAAGAATACTAAAGTTCAAGATTTGCTTAAAGAATAATGACTTAATTTCTAATTTAGCGCATAAGCCAAATAATGAAAATACTGATCCAATCATAGAAGTTTTAAATACTTGCAGTTTAATGTAACATCATAAATCTTTATGTGATGAGGGGCCAGTAGAGTTAAGAGAGAAAAATGGAGTAGATACAGGCAATTGTTTACATGTACAATACAGTGCTATGAGAATAGAAGAATATATTCCAAAAGAAATATGAGGATATTTAAGAACATTATATAAGAGAATGCCCAATATGTGCTATAGTTTCTTAGGCATGTCCATTTTTGAAGAATAGCACTTAGTACTTGTAAGGGGCAGGACTGGATACAGTGCAGGTTTTCTGATCCCATGCAGATCGGGTAAAGGAGGAGTCAGAGTCCTCAGTAGTTTTGCAGGTTTTTTATTTGGGGTTCACCAGGCATATGGCAGGCAGGGGTGCTGGCTGGGGGGCTGGGAGGCTGGCAGGCCTCCCAGCCCCCAGCAAGTCCTCACTCTATCTGGGCTCTTCTAGCGTTCGTTCTGCTGCTTCTCGGCTGCGGCTGCGGCTGCTGCTGCTGCTGGTGCTGGTGCTGCTGGCGTCCCCCCGTGACGCCGCCCTTAAAAGCACAGTCTTAGCTCAGCTGAATCCCATCTACCTATGCCCACACCCTATTCCAGGTGCCCACCATCAGGCATGCATTCAGGACAAGGATCCATCATCTATCCTGATGGCGGAAGGGCAGAAAAGCCTGATATTTTCTTTACCCTACAGTACTTTTCTGCTACTGGTTCCAGCACATGATTGAATCAATTTCTGTACCAATAATGAAATTTGTTTGAAAATAGTGGTAAGCCACTGCAGATTGTCTTTCTGATACATTATTGTCTACTCTAAGTGATTGTGACTTTGGTAATATTTGAAAGCAAACTTAATTGCATTTTGTGCTTATACTATAGTGGAAAAGAAGTCTGGAGTAGCAAAAAATTTGTTAGAAAATTTTCCACAAGTCATCTTTTGACACTGTTTAAGTGATAAGTTGTAATTCATATTTGAAATAAAGTAAGTCAGTCATTTTATAATCTGAATAAAATTTATCACTAGTCCAATAAAATATAAAATTGAGTTAGGAATTATAGCTAAAGAAATTGAAATCATTAAAACTGGGCAAGTACTGGAATTGAGTGGGATATAGTTTACAAACCGCCACTGCTGTATGTCAAGCATATCCTTCTTTATACATACAATTTCTTGTTTTTATTCTGGTTTGCAAAGAGATTAGCAAACAGTTTCTTGCAAGACCCTGCTTTAATGATTGATCTCCTTGAAGAATTTTCATTACTTCCACTCACCTTGCAATCAAGATCAACTGGTACTCAGAAAATAAAAAAAAAAAAAAATCAAATGCATCATAAAAAACTTGAAAAAATTAAAGACTGATATTACAAAGCTTGAATGAATCTTTTATTAAAAATTTAAATCAGTTAAGTTTGATACATTTCACTTAATAAATTTGAAACCTTCCCTAGGAATATGTTACTAAAAAGTAATGAATTTTTTGGGACCTACCCGGTGGCACAGCAGGTTGAGCACAGCACTGTGAAGCTGTCCACAGCCTCTGCAGCGCGGGTTCCATTCCTGGCCAGCCAGGGAGATTCCCACATGATGCGGCAGACCTCTCCTGTCGTGCCTGCTGCCACCCTCAGCAGTGCTTTCGGTCTGTCTGCCTGTTCTGTTCTCCACTCTGTCTCTGGTGAATTCTCTCACCCTCCTGCGCCTCTGGCCTGTACCCCAACTATTGTATAAATAAAAAATAAATCTTTAAAAAAAGTAATGAGTTTTTCTTTTAATAAAAACAAAGAACTTTTAATTATCTTGATTCATTAGGCCCATCTTCTTGGCCTTACGAAAAACTAACTTCACCATAGATAGCTGTTGGAGGAAAATTTTGTCATTTAAATTATTAAAATTTTAAAATTAATTTGAATAATTTTCAAGATTTTATTGATAAACATCAAATCAAACATTACAATCTGCAATTATGCAAAAACTAGAAAGAAAAATGCTTGCAATTAATAGTGCTAAAGCTGACAGAGGTTTCATTGTAATGAATTGTATGAGGTGAGAAATAGTAGTTTAATTTATCAAATATTAGACATAATAACAAGTTTATTGGAAAAATAATTAGCAGACTAGGAACATGAAAAGATAGTATACCACCACTCTGACTTTCTCCTGTGTTGTCATGTTATTTTGCATTCTTACTAGCAATGTAAGAGAGTTCTAGTCAATTTCCATCCTCCACTGTACTTGGTATTATTGATCTTTTTAATTTTAACCATTTTAGTGAGTGCCATTTATCTCACTGTCGTCAATTTGCATTTCCTTAGTACCTAGTGATGTGTATCTTTTCATGTTTGTGTTTGCTTTTCACATACGTATTTTGGCTGAGTATCTGTTCAAATATTTTGCCCACTTATTAAGTGAATTATCAAGTTGCAAGAATTATTTATATATCCTGGTTACAAGTTTTTTATCGGGTACGTACTTTGAAAGCACGTATTTTCTCTGAGCCCATGAGATGTTTCTTGATTGGACTTATGGTGAAAAGTCTGCCCTTCCCCTCATTGAATTACTTTGGCTCCTTCATTGAAAAGTAAATGAATATATTAGAATTGGTCTGTTTTGGGACATATTCTACTCCATTTAACTATATGTCTATGATAATCTTTTAGTAATGAAAATTATTTAGTTTGATGAAAAGTATTCTGAAGTTATTTTTGAAAATTATGGAAAAGAACTGAAGTCTATGGTTGTGAATAATGTGCATTCTTTATTTCTTTATTTATACAAGCACTGGGTACAGTCAGAAGCACGGGAGGGTGAGAAAATTCACCAGAGTCAGAGCAGAGAGCAGAGCAGGCAGAATGACGAAGTACACTGCTGAGGGGAGCAGCAGGCAGCAGGAGAGGTCTGCGCTCCATGTGGGACCCTCCTCCGGTGGCCTGGAGATAGAACTGGCGCTGCAGCAGCGCTCAACCCCTGCGCCACCGGGGAGGCCCTAATGTGCATTCTTCCCAAACATCTGCTACTCAAACCAGAACTGTATAGTTACATACGTATTTTTCATAAGTAACTTCTCAGATAGGGATTATACATTATATATGTATATATATGAAGTAATTAGGTATTCTTTGCTTATAGCTTCATTTTGTCAGTATAGAAAAGGGAGTAAATTAATTTCACATATGAAAAAACTTGAAATAATAAACTTTTCAGGAAGAATGAAAAGATACTGAAAAAATCAAAGAATAGAGCAGAATAAATTCTGTTTTCTGGGAATAACTGCTACATAAATACCACAAATCAAGGGACGAGGGGGGATTTCCTGACTTAAGCTTCCAAGCAAGTCACACAAATGAAAGAGGAAGTGATCATCTGTTTTGAAAAACGTTGTGGGCAGAATTACTGTACTTCCTTTCACTCTTTTAGGATTTTAAACTTATGCCCACTAATATTGCTGAACTTCATGAACTTTTAGATTTTGCTAGATTCTTAGCTTTATTTTATTTTTCAGTAAACTGTCACTGTTGTGGAAATGTTACAGAGACAGGGAGATGATGCATCGTCAAGAAGAGGACAGATACCCAGGTTTTCACACTTGGAGTGGGCCCTTGCTCCAGTGGAATAAGCATAAGATTTGTAGTAAAACACATTTGTATTTCACGTCTTTGACTTCTTAAGGTAGCAACTCACGTGGGTGACTATTGTCATGAGGATTACATTTAGTGACATCTTAGTACTCAGCTTAGCGTATAATATACACATTAAATAATAAATCCTTTCCTACTTCTCTCAAACCTTCCTCATATAGGCTAAGGATCAAACCCCCACTGCAGAGGCTCCAGTTTTTCTGGAGATAAATTTTATACTCCACAGCAAGAGCTGATCTGTTAGTTCTTCCTCATTCTTTTGAGTAACAAAATGATAGAAGCTTGAAACGTACTGGAGAACAGGAGTACATCTGAGCTCTGGGATCACTCTAGGATAAGAAACTAGTTCAGCAGGAAGTGTGTGTACCGTCAGCCCCTTAAGGATCATATGCTCAAGGTGTCCAATCCCGTCTCACATGTTTAATACCTCAAATGTCACTTGATGGCAGAAAACTCTCCAGGGAACTCTGTGAGAACAGTGCCCAGCTGTAGTGGAAGGCTGACCTGAGAGCACCCTTTAGTCTTTCTCTATCCTTCTTTGTCCTCATGTAATTTAATTATTTTCTCTCTCTTGATGCAGCTTTTAAATTCAAAGATACTATTAGTGTGTTACCTTAAATCACCAGATTCTAACCCTCTTCACCTCCTCCCACCTTAATTCTGTGAAACAGACAGCGATACTAATTTGTTTCTAGTTCCTCCTACCTGCTCCCCAATACATTTGCCCTTTCACAATTTTATTCCTAAAGGCAGGACAAGACTTTTTAAAATTGTCCTATTTATTGGGAAGATCTCCACATCCCTATTAGCAAACAGGAGATTCTAAGTTATGTATATAAAATCTTAAATTACTTTTGGGATATTGCAGAAAATTATCAGTTTTTATTTTGAGAATGTCTGCCAAAATACAAAAATACTCTCAGGCTGGTAACGCTAACTCACTGTTATATCTGTGTCACTATTCCTATTGTGTTGAAGAACAAAGGAAGATTAGACTATACATACTGTTTGCATACTGTAGTAGGTCCTGAGAATATAAAAGTACAAGATTTGTACCTTATATTTAAGTCACAGGGAAGGCAAGCTTGGACTAGAATGCAAAGTTCCTAAATCTATTCTTTTTTACATGTACAAAAAGTTCTGTTGTATAGTACATTGGATCTATCTCAAGCATAAAAATACACAGAACTCTTTCTTTGATTCTATACATAAAATAT